AAAAATAAATCATAATGTATTCTGATCAAGATGAACGAGTGTGTTGATTGCCCCCCCCCCAAAAAAAAACAAAGACGATCCCACCAGAGAAGTTCATGCTGTGCTGTAGTAATGTACATCGCAAAGCTTCGCCACAATGATTGGAAAGGTAATACTCCGCCCGTTACGACGCAAAACGGCGCGAGAAGAATAGATCGCGACGCGAGAAGAATACATCATTTTTGTACAAACAATGGAAAGTTTATCAGAACGAAAACCGGAGGAGGGGAAGTCAGGCTTTGGCCGACAAATACTTTCTGTATATCAAGTTTAAGCTGTACCGCGCATCACGAGCGAGAACAATGACGGGAGAGATAATCTTCCATCGCCTGGTGGGGCGCAAAAGGGCGCAAGAAGAATAGAGCGGGTTTATACTAACAATAGACGGTTTCTTTTCATATGCAAGAATCAGGTGAGGGTGACTATTGCGCCCCTTCGCGCCCCTTTGCGCCTCAATGCGTCTCTTGGGACGCGACTGTTCTATTCATCGCGCCCCGACGCGTCCGGGCACAGTCGCAACTTTGGAAGGCTCCCCTAAGTATTCAGATTCCTTGACGCGGTAACCCGGCTCATTTTTTTTGGTATAACTATAAATGAATGGCAAGTGCGCGCAACAAAGGATTTGTGCGTATTCATTGAGTTTTAAGAGTGGTCAAGTGTAACGTCATCAAAAAGTACTTTTTAAAGTATCCAAATTTAAACTTCATTTTCCGAAAGAGCATAAAAAATAATGTCGAAAACCAATCGAATATGTTAAATATTGGATGAGGAGATATAACCATTCGAATAAATGGTTATTTTGCTTTGGTTTGTAATGCATAATATTACGAACCAGAGCAAAATAACAGTAATTTCCTGTTGAAAATGAATTTCAAATTGAGAAATTCTAAAAATAGATTAAACCTGTTCGAAACTTTGCTTAATTCACAATTTAAAACATTCACTAATGATTCTAATTTCTTATGATAGCAACAAATATTTGTGTCATCTGCAAAAAGAATAAATGACAATGAAGAAGATGTGTTGGATAAATCATTAATATATAAAAGAAATAAAAGTGGACCTAAATGGAACCTTGGGGAACACCACAATTAACGAAAAGTAATTCCGATTTAAGACCGTTAATATTAACATATTGTTTTCTATTTGTTAAATAGTCCTTAAGATATCAAAGGATTTGGCCCCGAATACCATAAGAGGAGAGTTTTTGGATTAAAATATTATGATGGAGCGTAGGCTATCAAACGCTTTACTAAGATCTAACAAAATACCAATCACGTGTTCTTTATTTGCTATTGCATTAGTAATTTTATCATAAATTTGTATTAAGGCCAAGTCAGTAGAGCGATTTTTTTTCTAAAACCATCTTGATTTAGATTTAATATTTGGTTAATATTAAACAAATCTAGTAACCTATTATAAACAATTTTACCCAGAACTTTAGATATACTTGGAAGTACAGAAATTGGACAATAATTACATGCGAATCATTTTTTTTAAAGATCGGATTTACCTTCGCTATCTTAAGTAAATCTGGAAACACGCCTTGCAATACAAATTAATACTGAAATCTAAGCTAGACTTATAGCATTTATATTTAATGAGCACGAAATATTGTGGTTCAAACCCCACGAGACAAATCTCTATTTGTCTAGTGTACTGAGCGTTAAAACAAACACAACAATCTCGGTGGATCTAGACTATGTCTAGTACAATTATAGACATGTGAAATATGTGTAACAATTCGTGTGTACTGCTTATCCACAACAGGCACTCGGAACGTTAAGCAGGGCTCCCACTTAAAGCGTTGGTCACATCCCACCGTGCGTGTTTTTAGTCCGTACGGTTTTTGGGGAGGCCACGGCCGCCACGTTTTTCTGAAAACGTAGGGAGGGAGTGGCAAAGGCAGGAAGGGAGTACCGGCAACGCGCGTCACACGCACTGTGTAAGTACGTGGCCCGCACGCCACGCCTGGCCGTGAACGGTTGCGTGCATCGTACGTTGCGCACGTGGTAAGTGCGTTGTACGTGCTTACAACGTGCTTACAACGTACAGTCTCCGTGCGGTTGCCACGTTATCGTACGGAGGCCGTACTTACAAGTGCTGCTCACGTACGGTTTCCTTACTCACTCGCATGTTGTAAGTGCGTGCACGTGCGATGAACTCGTGTTTATATATAGGACGACATTCCGATGTTCTCCAGAAGTCCCAGCTGTTGCTGCCTCAAGATGCCGCCCATTCCACCGAAGAGACTATCTACTGCATCAGTGCGAACAACGTGCGTTGTAAGTGCTTACTCGGTACGGTCCACGTGAGTTCTGCGTGCTCATTGGATAGCTAAACTGGGGAAGTGGCGAGTAAGCACGGACCACGCACTTATAACGTGCGCCTTTAAAAGACGCACGGAGTCAGTGCGTTGTGCGCTCGTTGGCAGTACCGGGCACGCACGTCACACGCACAGGGGTGAATTAGTAGCCCGAACGCAGCCCGAACGCAGCGAAAGTTCCTCATGCACTAAAAGGGCTACGGTGTGTATGCGTGCTCCCAAATCCGTACAGAGGCGGTACTCATAACGTACGGATACCCACATTTTGCCAACGTTTTTGCCCGTAGACAGCACGCACTTGCAAGTACGGCGGGATGTGACCACCACATAAGCCGAGTTGGAGCCTCGAGTTGTGGCGAGCTGGTGCGATCTTATGGCAAGCAGTTTTATCATTAAAACACATTTCTTGATATCAAGAATTGAATTCTTGATATCACGAAATCGAATTCCTGATATCCCGAAATCGAATTCTTGATATCAAGAATTACCATTGCTTTACAACGTAAAATTATTTTTTGATATCAAGAATCGATTTCTTGATATCAATTAATAATAAAACGGCTTGCCATAAGATCGCGCCAGCTCGCCACAACTCGAGGTTCCAACTCTGCTAGGTGGGAGCCCTGCTTTATAAAGCCAAACCATCACAATAGCATGAAAAAAAAAGCATAAATCACTTTAATATGATATACTTAAATAACGTTACGTGAGTTGGATCCACAGTAGGTGTAGACTAACTAGTCGAAAACGGTGGTCGATGATGGCGAAGAAGATGCAGAAAATGATTGGCGTAGTCGCAATCGCAAGACGATGTCGATCAAAAGGTTGATGTTGCGAAGTTCAAGATTTACAGATGACGTAATCGTAAATGGTGGTCGATGATCGCGAAGCTTCTGGTGACGATGGTCGACGTAGACTTGGTCGCAATCGCAAGACAATAGGGGCTTTTAGATTGAGTGGACGAGAACGGCGTGAACGTCCACTGATCCTGCGTGTCCATGGCAAGCCGTTTTAAAATTTATTCCTATTTTTTCATGTCAAGAATTCAATTTTTGATATCAAGAAATAATTTTATGTTGTAAAGCAATGGTAATTCTTGATACCAAGAAATAGGAATAAATGTTAAAACGGCTCGCCATACACACGCATGATCAGTGGACGTTCACGCCGTTCTCGTCTACTCAATCTAAAAGTCCCTATTGATGGCGATGGTCGATGTAGACGTAGTCACAATCGCAAGACGATGTCGAGCAAAAGTTAATGCTGGGAGGCTGGAGATTTACAGATGATGCAATTAGAACAGCTCCCACGAAGCAACGTTGACCGTAGAACAGTTTGTCATAGACTGCAGTATGCCTTGGTCATGTAGGAGTCGAATAATTGTAGATAAAACTCAATCTCCAATATAGACGAATGAGGGTACGTGAAGAAGAATAACGAGACGAAAAGTCTGAAGAAAACTGTGCACAGTCACGAAAAAAATGTATGAGTGATGAGCACGGGAAGCCGGTTGCTATTATATCCCTGCCTGAAAGTTAGGGAAGAAAACGCCGCATTCAATGCCTGATTGAATGTAATGTAACAATAGGCGCTGACAAAAATTCCAACGGTGAATAATATTTACTTCTATTTACAAAAACATTATATGTATTATCAAATGATGTAGGGAAAGGTTAGTTGGAAGCTATCGTCTCCATTAATCAAGGGGATAAAGGTTATATTCATGTTGATGATTGCATGTGCACGTGAGTGTGTGTGAATTACATGGCTAGACAAAAAGAAGGCACACTCAAGTGTTAAACACTCATTGTAAGCACATTATGTTGATAATTATCGTAACTTTAAAGTCATTAGCAGGCCCGTAGCCACGGAAGGGGGAGGGGGGGGGGGGCACGTCGATCAATTACATGTATGCCCCCCCCCAAAAAAAAAAAAAAAAAAAAAAACCATTGGCTACGTCCCTGGTCATTAGACAACAATTTGGAGCCAGAAGGGCATTAACTAAAATGAATAAGTAAATGTCCTTCTTGCTCCAAATAGACGATATGATATAAAGTTACCTTTACTACTACTTATACTCCTACTACTACTACTTCTCTAGAATGTAATCATTTCAGTGTAGACATTTTTGGCAAGGTGGTATGCACGCATCTCCGTTTGACTGTCTTTCGACTCAATCCCTTTCCCCTTCTTTCTGCTGACCTAGACTCTTCTTTCTAGAGCTTTTGCAATTATTCCTTTTCCTTTTCTAACTTTCTTTCTTTTTGCCTTCGTCTATTTTCCCAAACTTTTTCTCTAAAAAAAAAAAAATTCCTTCCCCAAATTCATACTTTCGTTATCGTTACATATTTGTATATTGAATTTATACGCATACTTTGTTTTCAAGACGTATGGTAAAACAGCCCCTAAGTAGCTAATACTTCAACAAACTCTGCTTCTATTTAGTTTCTCTTTTCTCGTGCCATTACTATCATATTTGTCTTGTTTCATTGTAATTTTTTGTAATATAGTCATATTAGATTGCAAATAACTCTACAATTTCATTGTAGTATGTTCCGCATGAGAAATAAAATAATTTGAATCCTGAATCTTCTAATAACGTGCATCTAAATATGACTTTATATCGACCTTCAAGCTTTCATGCCTTGCCTGAGGCCGGTCTTCAAGCTCTTCAATTTCTCATTATTCCCGAAAGACGTCATTCACTTCTTTACTGACGTCACAGAGAAGGCAGTCGCTCTGAGAGAAAGTCATCCTTCCAAACAGGTCCGTCAGATTTTGTTATGACAATATTATTTCTACTATTATTATTGTAAAGCTAATTCTATAAATTCTGATATATTTTTTCTGCTAGTACTTTTAAAAAAATACTACTTGGCGCAAAATCAAGGTAAAATGTGTCCAAAATGCAACGGAAATATTTGACAGTATCTGAATAATTATTTCAGATGTCATTTTAGGAGGATAGATATTCGTTTGTTTGCTTGCATATTTTTGCATCTTAAAGATAAACTTGAGTTCTGGTAATGCGACTGCATTGTGAAAGAAAAGGTGTGGAATGGATTAGAAAAGTTGATCATATAGCATGTAAGAAATGGTGTGTAATGCAAGGTTCTGGAGTCATCAAAATCATCATAAATTTGGCAGAGTCTTGGTAAAGTAACAATCACTTACACAGAAAGATGTATATGGGACAACACACATGGTGTCGGGGCTAGTACTACCCTGATTTCCGTATCGTTCTATGCTCATTACTCAGGCAGTATACATTTTCTTCCAAAATTGTTTGGCACATGACATTTATTTGTAATCTTGAACATTCAGTGTAAGTTTCGTTAGATTCTGTGAGAATTCATTTTCTTTTTTTACGAGAACTCAAGTTTATCTTTAAAGTGGCATGTTCCCCGTATTCCAGAGGGCGCTCAAAATACGTTCCCGCTGGCGGACGGTGCTAGCTGCCTATTGACACCAACAGAATACGGCTCTTACGCAGATGGCATGTTCCGAATGCCCGCACAATGCCGATTATCGCATACATGTGCCGAAGTAATACCAATCGCAGTTCGGTTCTAAGATTCGGCTGCTGTTTCCGCCCACTTTCGTGACGTCAGGATCGGCAGCGATCAGCTGGCTTGATGAAAGCAGGCCAGGCCGCGCGTACTTTGATTGACAGCTGTATGCAGATCTTCGGAATCAAGATGGCGATGACTAGAGCAGCGATAACTACAATGGCGGGAACGTGCCCCTTTAAACGCTGTTTGGACGCTCTGTTCCCTCGCGCTTGTTTAATCAGTGTATTCTCCAAATTACGTACCCCACTTACAGACCAAACACATTAAGAATGCATCTACATGTATTACTATTTTTCCTTTGTCTTGGTCTCACAGCGAGTGGACTTTCTACAGCTCCTGATTGATGCTAAGAACGGTAAAAGCAAAATGGCGAGTGAAAACGACGAAGACGACATCCATAACAAATACTTCGAAGACACAGGGGCTGATGAGAACATTTCGACCAAAACTCAGAAATACATGACAAGAGAGGAACTGCTTGCTCAGGTACGAAACCCTTCTTCTTCTTCTTCCCCATCTTCTTTTTCTTGTTCTTACTCTTTTTCTTCGTTTACTTCTTTTTCATCTCCTTCTTCTTCTTACTTCTCCTTCTTGTTCTTCCTCTTTTTCTTCGTTTACTTCTTCTTCATCTTCTTCATACTTCTCCTTCTTGTTCTTCCTCTTTTTCTTCGTTTACTTCTTCTTCTTCTTCTTCTCCTTCTTCTTCTTCTTCCCCATCTTCTTCTACAGTCTTCTCCTTCCTCCCCTTATTTTTCCAGTCTTTTTCTCTTTCATCTACATCATCATAATCATCATCAAATTATTTATTAGTTATTATTGCTATTATTATTATTATTATCGTTATCATTATTATCATGATTATTGTTATCATTATTGGATAATCATTTAATTGGATGAATTGAATGAAAATTAAATGACTGTGTATCTAATAAAACTTACGGGTCGGTCTAATTCCTGATACTTTTTTGGAGGTGTTCCTTATTTCTCTGCTTAAATTTAGTTTTACTATAGTGCGACTTTAACTGACCACCCACTAGCTGGCTCAAGGACACAACTTTCTGTTTTATTTGATTTATGGCTTACTTCTCAGAAATGAGTCATGGCTCCTTGCATGTTATCAGCACATGTGTGCTCTTGCTCTCTTCTTCATTTTACCTCCTCTATTCCATTGCTACTAAAATTCTTCATGTGATATGTGTTAGCTGTATTTTCACATTTTAATGTTTTTAGGAGTGTTTTGGCAGTTACTTTTACTACTGTTAACATTAATTTCTCTTAACATATAGTTTCAATTATGTTTGTATTTAATTATATTTTGTTTTTTAAGACTTGCACCCATTCCCCGACCCCCTTTTCCTGCTATCATGCATTTTGTAGACACATTTTTGTTATTATGTCATGGACAATATATTCTTTGATGTTTCATGTAACTATATATTATGTTCAATATTGATGAATTGAATGAATCATTGGATGACAAAGTGGATTGTAAATATTATCTTCCTCATGAATTTAATTCAAGATTTGAGAGTGAAAATAATTCCTTTAGCTTATTACATACAAATGCACGAAGTCTTGTTAAAAATTATGAATATCTGAACATTCTGCTGTCGGCCCTCACCAAACCGTTTTCAGTCATAGGAGTCACAGAAACGTGGCTTAATGATACATCTCCATCTACTTTATGTAATATTGACAATTATTCGAGTGTACGTTCTGATAGAAAAACCGGAAGGGGTGGTGGAGCTGCTATGTTTATCTCAAACTTGTTAACATACAAAATTAGATCTGACCTTAGTTTGAAGAGTGATGGTACTGACTCGATATGCATTGAAATCAATATGGCTCAAAGGAAAAACATCTTGATATGTACAATATATAGGCCTCCGCATACAAATGTTGAATTATTTTTGGAGGAGTTTGATAGGATGCTGCATAAGGTCAATCTAGAAAATAAGGATGTTTACTTGATGGGTGATTTTAATATTGATCTTTTGCAGGAAGATAATACTTTTCATAATATGTTACGATCAAATTCATTCAATGCCATGATTGATAAACCAACCAGATTGGCAAATAACTCTTCTACATTGATAGATAACATTTTTACAAATGTCACCAATAACTATATAGGCTCTGGCCTCTTGTATAGTGAAATCTCTGACCACCTTCCAATTTTCCTGATTTGTAATCATGTTCGCAATTATCCTGAGGACGAAAAGAATCAAGCTATGATACGTAAAATCACAGCTGAAAAAATAGCCATGTTTAATGACGAACTACTCAAAGTAACATGGAATGACGTGGTCGCATGTACTGACACCAATAAGGCATATGCACTTTTTTGGAACTTGTTCTCCTCTCTTTTAAATAAACATATCCCAATGACTAAAAAAAGATCGGCAAGAAATAGAATCAAGCAGCCATGGATAACTAAAGGTATCTTTTGCTCTATTAAAAAACGGAATAGATTATATAAATATAGTCTTCGACACCCAGGAGAGGAAAGCTTGAATAATTACAAATCATATAGGAACAAACTAACCACCATTATTAGACAGTCTCGACAAATGTATTTTGCCAAGCAGTTTGAAAATGCAAATGGAAATGCATCATCAACGTGGAATGTGATCAATCAAGCCCTCAAAAAACAAAAGAGTAAATCAAAGTGTCATATTACCAAAGATAATAATACAATGGTTGATTCAAAAGAAATAGCAAATTGCTTCAATGCTTACTTTGTTGGGGTTGGCCCCAATCAGGCCAATACAATAGCTTCGAACGGAGTCGACTTCTCACAATTTCTTCAAACTCCCTGCAACAAGTCATTATTTCTCAAACCAACAAACTTGATTGAAATCTTGAATATTGCACGTTCTCTTAAAATAAGCTATGCTAACGGTCATGATGAGATAAGCACATATCTTTTGAAACAAGTTATAGGAAATATAATAACCCCACTAGTGCATATTTTTAATCTCTCTCTGACGACAGGTACATTTCCAGAAGCATTTAAGATTGCTAAGGTTGTTCCGATATACAAAAAGGATGACTCTTCCCAAGTCTCAAACTATCGCCCTGTTTCTATTCTCTCGAGTTTGTCCAAAGTATTGGAAAGACTTATATACAATAGGCTATATTGTTTTCTAACAGAAAATGACTTACTGAATCAGGATCAATATGGTTTCAGGAAATACCACTCAACCGATTTAGCCCTTGCACAATTATATGATAAGGTTTCGAATGCTTTGGCGTCTCGAAAGCATGTTATTGGTGTATTCATGGACTTAAGCAAAGCATTTGACACTCTTGATCACAAGGTATTATCAAGCAAACTTCATTATTACGGAGTAAGAGGAGTTAACCCATTCCAGAAAAAAAGTAGACTTTCCAAAAAAGTCTAAAAAAATGGACCGTTTCATGCAATTCTAGATGGTCTAAAATATTACTTTTTCACTCAAATAGAACCAAATTTCTTGGGTTACAGAAAATAATGGTCCTTACCTTTGTCGTTATAGAACAATTTTCTTGCAAGTATCCAGCAAAGGTTCGTCAATTGCCACACCTTGATCTGTACAAGGTTTGTCGATTGCCACACTTTATTCTTACCAACGTAATTCGTCGATCGCCGCACTTTACTTTGACCAAGGTTCGTCGATTGCCACACCTTGATCTGTCCAAGGTTTGTCGATCGCCACACTTTACTTTGACCAAGGTTCGTCGATCGCCACACTTTACTCTTTCCAAGGTTTGTCGATCGCCGCACTTTACTTTGACCAAGGTTCGTCGATCGCCACACTTTACTCTTTCCAAGGTTTGTCGATCGCCGCACTTTACTCTTTCCAAGGCTCGTCGATCGCCACACTTTACTCTTTCCAAGGTTCGTCGATCGCCACACTTTACTCTTTCCAAGGTTTGTCGATCGCCGCACTTCACTCTTTCCAAGGCTCGTCGATCGCCACACTTTACTCTTTCCAAGGTTCGTCGATCGCCACACTTTACTCTTTCTAAGGCTCGTCGATCGCCACACTTTACTCTTTCCAAAGTTTGTCGATCGCCACACCTTGATCTGTCCAAGGTTTGTCGATTGCCACACTTTATTCTTACCAACGTTCGTCGATCGCCGCACTTTACTTTGACCAAGGTTCGTCGATTGCCACACCTTGATCTGTCCAAGGTTTGTCGATCGCCACACTTTACTTTGACCAAGGTTCGTCGATCGCCACACTTTACTCTTTCCAAGGTTTGTCGATCGCCGCACTTTACTTTGACCAAGGTTCGTCGATCGCCACACTTTACTCTTTCCAAGGTTTGTCGATCGCCGCACTTTACTCTTTCCAAGGCTCGTCGATCGCCACACTTTACTCTTTCCAAGGTTCGTCGATCGCCACACTTTACTCTTTCCAAGGTTTGTCGATCGCCGCACTTCACTCTTTCCAAGGCTCGTCGATCGCCACACTTTACTCTTTCCAAGGTTCGTCGATCGCCACACTTTACTCTTTCTAAGGCTCGTCGATCGCCACACTTTACTCTTTCCAAAGTTTGTCGATCGCCACACCTTGATCTGTCCAAGGTTTGTCGATTGCCACACTTTATTCTTACCAACGTTCGTCGATCGCCGCACTTTACTTTGACCAAGGTTCGTCGATTGCCACACCTTGATCTGTCCAAGGTTTGTCGATCGCCACACTTTACTTTGACCAAGGTTCGTCGATCGCCACACTTTACTCTTTCCAAGGTTTGTCGATCGCCGCACTTTACTTTGACCAAGGTTCGTCGATCGCCACACTTTACTCTTTCCAAGGTTTGTCGATCGCCGCACTTTACTCTTTCCAAGGCTCGTCGATCGCCACACTTTACTCTTTCCAAGGTTCGTCGATCGCCACACTTTACTCTTTCCAAGGTTTGTCGATCGCCGCACTTCACTCTTTCCAAGGCTCGTCGATCGCCACACTTTACTCTTTCCAAGGTTCGTCGATCGCCACACTTTACTCTTTCTAAGGCTCGTCGATCGCCACACTTTACTCTTTCCAAAGTTTGTCGATCGCCACACCTTGATCTGTCCAAGGTTTGTCGATTGCCACACTTTATTCTTATCAACGTTCGTCAATTGCCACACTTTACTCTTTCCAAGGTTCATTGATCGCCACACCATACTCTTACTAAGGTTCGTCGATTGCCACACTTTACTCTTTCAAAGGTTCGTCGATCTCCACACTTTACTCTTTCCAAAGTTTGTCGAGCGCCACACCATACTCTTACTAAGGTTTGTCGATCGCCACACCATATTGTTACCAAGGTTCGTCGATCGCCACACTTTACTCTTTCAGAGGTATGCAATTGCCACACCTTGGTCTGTCCGAGGTTTGTTGAATGTCACACTTATCTCATACAGAACAATGTATATCAATCATAATCAAATCTTTGAAACAACTAAGTAGTTTTTATTTAAAATATATATGATATTCGCTTTATTATTACTCTTGCAAGTGCTGGCAATCAACTGCAGTCCATGTTCCCCTGTTCAGGACATTTTGGGGACCACTCATAAATGGGTTAATGTAACATGGGTTTAAGAAAGTGAAAAATGCTTGTTATTATAGAGTGAAAGGTCTGTATTACTATTTGAATTAATGAATACATATGGAAGACTTATGTATTTCAAAATATTATCATAGGAACATGAATATTCTAGTTATAGAAATATTTGATAAATTTAAAGATCATTTCAGTAATGCAGATATTTAAACATTATCTATATATAAAAAAAAAACAGAAGGAAAACAAAATTGTCATTATAACACTCATTACAAATTACTTTGAAACAACTTTGAAACTAGCTCTGATACAACGGTTTATGTATAAACAGGGAGCCCCCCCCCCCCCCCCCCAACAAAAAAAAAACACAGCAACAACAATGCAATGGGGAACTTTCAAAAATAAAGTAACAAAATGATTGTGTCCACCGGATAGAATGTCCGTTCAGATGAGAAACGGTACCAAGAACAATAATTTTGGACGAGTAGTTTTTGTTGTAGGACGTCTTAAGTAAGACCATGTCAGGTTCCCACTTTTGCCATTTTTACCAAGTCACCT